TTTTCTATTCTTTTTTTTTTTTTTCTTCTCCTTTTTCTGAGTATCTTACACCTGAGAATAAGAGCAAGATCACTGATGAAACTCAATTATTTAAAATTCTTTCCTCTTTCCCCGAGTATTAAAACTAAAACTAATAAATAAATTTCACCTAATGCAAACTTTTTTTGATTTTAACGTTTTAGATCCCAAAGATGGAGAAGAAGAAAAAAAGTCAAACTTTTGACCTCAACACAGGCAAAAAAAAAGAAATAGAAAGGAACGAAAAGAAATTGTCCTTTTTTTTATGAGCAAGAATGTTCTCACATAGAGAGTCTATGGTGTAAACCCATCAACTAGTTGATACCGCTATAAATAGAAGTATTAATAATAGAAAAAGAACGGAATATAAAATCTCCTTGAACATATATATATGTATGCAGTATTTAGACATTAATAATCGTTTCTTTCATTGTTCTGCCTGATGATACCTAAAGAACCGCGCCCCTTTAACAATTCTTAAAGATTCATTCATTCCAGACAATTGTGAAGGTTTTATTAATAAAAGAAATTAAACGTTCTTCAATTGGAGCCAGCGTTTCATACCTCTTGGGCAAAAAAAACGGGTACTCGTGTGCATAATTCTATTCGCTATTTCTATCAACATAGTTCTAAGCTGATTTCTATACATTCAATAGCTTTGAAAATAACTTCAAAAAGAGTTGTCTTTTTCTTCAAGAAAAACTTTTTTCTCTAATTTTTTCTCAACAAACAAAGGATAGTGCTATTTTACAAGTTCAACACATACGTTTTTTTACAATAAAAAAAATGTACGTTAAAGAATTAGTTCTATAAAAATGATTTCTAAGAAATTCAACTTGAAGAACAAAAAGTTATAAAATCAGAAATGAACATTTGAATACATAATTATCAGCAAAGATTTTTTTTTACATCACATTTAATTACAACAAAAAAAAAAATTGAGTAACTGTAATTCCCAAAAGTTTTTCAAGTTTAAGAAAGAAAAAAAGAATATTGATATAATTAATAAAAGTTAAGATCTTTTTCTACTATTATGGCACTTTTACATATCAAATTCGCAAAATCTATTCAGACGACATTCACTATACGATAGAGGATAGAGGTATGTGTAAATCGATTATTTTTCACTGTTGCTCGAGAGACATCAATTTTTTGCTAGTAAAATAATTTGAAGATATTCGTAATTGTCTCTGTTTAACACATACCTGCTCAACAGAAGCTTTTAGTGTTTCATATAGTCTTTCATCAAGAAAACACAAACAGACAAAGTATCTTTATTCTTGTTTTTTGTTGTTTTATACTAATGAAAGGTACAAAAATAGCTGGACAGAGGTATACAATGAGAGTATCAGAACTTCTTTTTACATTATGTCGCATATCTCTATGGTAAGATTGAATTTCTTTTATGGACATATATGACAGAAAGAAAATGCAGAAAAGGTATCATTTCCCCAATTACTGTAATCAATTATGCACAATAAAAATAGCTTCTGTAGCTAAAACATATATATAATTCGTTTGATCTAGCATATATCCGACTTCAACTAGATACTATTCATTCATACAAATGTGTGTATTTGACCTAATTACTTTTGACGTTTATTTTACCTTAGCTCTTTTTATAGGTGTATAGATCAATAACCTTGAAATGGGAGCTCTTTAACCTGTTTAAACAACAAAATGGACAAAGATATGGAAGATGTCAAATATGCGTTATGCTTATCGTAATTATTCTTATCATGACCTTAGAAGAAAACAAAAAATGTGATTCTCACGAGAGATATAAATTGATGTTTGACAATAAGCAGACATACTTACAACTAAATTAAGAACAAATATAGATGAGTAAGTGAGCAAATGCTCTTCTATGTTAAACACTGTGTTTTGGTCAAGAAACAAAAATAAGACACATTTTGACAGACAAAAAACATACACACCTACTCATAGAATTTTTTCGTATCGAAGTAATTAAACAATTAGTAGGGTATATGTCGAGAAAATTTTTGAAACGTCATAGTCGCATATATAAAAATACTCTTTTTGCTCTTCAATTTGACTTTAAATTATTTTGAAAATCAATCAGAAAATCGAAAATTATTAAAGGGTGAAGCAAAAGTTAAGTCTCCGAAAAATACCATATAAGTTTAAACCGAAGCTCGATTCGCTAGTCAATAAGACTTATAATCTTTGATTAAGTGCCAGGCATATTGTGCAATATTGCGTGTAGATCAGGCCCTATTTTAACATGTATGTCAACAAGTAACACGGTTTTCTCAAGCTTTCAGTGAAAAAAACGATATTGCTTAGAAACAACATTTTTTATCAAGCATAAATCCGAAAGATTCAGAATGGACGGCTAATAAGTTTTCCAAGTAGTAATTGCTGTTAAAATAGGCTCTGACGTAGACTGTCTTTACAAAACTTTTATGATGTAGACTGATTAATTACAAAATGTAAAAAGAATCTTCCAATTACCTTCTTATGTCTATACATGATTTTTATAATTTCAAGACAACAACAACTTCAAAAAAAAGAAAATCGGTTACAAATAAGACTATTTTAGACTCTGTACAGATGTATATGTATGTACAGAGGTAGTCGATGTCGTCGTCGAACATACTGAACATATTCGATCATATTTTTTAAATATAGAAGAGAAAAAAGTCAAATTTCTCTCCAATGTTCTCTTTCTTTCTTGTTATTCATTCTCTATGTATGTTTTGTGTATTATGTTATGTTTTGAACAAGAAAAAATAAAATGATTGGGAACTATACATGGATATAACTTTTAAAACATTAAATTTTCTTTGTTGTTCATTTTTTCCTGTTTAGTTAACTTGACCAAGAAATGCTGCAATAAAAAAAAAAATTCTATATTTTTCTGTTTTGTTCAGGTGCACACCGTCTATAATATGCCACACGTTAAAGTGTCAATGTTGTACATCGATCAAAACGAGCAAGAAAGAATGTGTACAGTTTCAATCAATTTTATTTTTGTACAATTTGTTCTCGCAATCAATCCAAATAAAAAAACATTAAATTTTTTCTTCTCATTTCTTTCTTTTAACTGAATTGTATATTAGTTAAAAGTTCTTACGACATAATCATAGTTATCTTTCATTAACACGTACAACATAGATCGAAGATGCATACCATATACTCTATTGAACATAGCGATTGACGTACTCTAAACATGAGACAAAACCATCGTTAAACAACTGTTATGTACATCATGGTTTAGTATCATCTTGGTTATGAAAGATCAATACATTCACATACATTTTCTACGATTTGCAAGTTGCGAGTCTAACAATGTATAAGACCTATCTGTACCAATGAATGTACCAGTAGAGCAACTAAGAGGGTGGCAAATGAACGAATGCCCAAGCCTCTTCACAGTATATTCGGAATTAACTTTTTCATTTTAGTATCCCCCCAATTCGATTTTAATAAATTTTTTGCGAACGTTCGCATTGGAAGAGCAGCAAGCATATTGTAATAAAATGGAATATTTTTTCTAGTAACACTTTATGTCAGTATTTATTATCAGATCGCCAAGGTCCAAATGGTGCTAGTTTATCCGCATCAGTGTATTACGTTTTTTTCAAAGACCAGTAGATATACGACATCAAGGCTCTGTTACTCAATGGCACTCACAGAAAAGATGATTCTTGCGGGAAAACCTTTAACTCTATATACACGTAAAAATGTCCTGCGCATTTACACCTGCCGCTTCTTTATTTCAGTAGAGATATAGACGTTCTAATGATATGACTGTAAACGTTTTCAGACGATCAAAGTGACATACAGATGGCGCTAAAAATCAGTGATGTTCGTTAAAAACTTCGCGCTCGATATTCATCGTCTCCTAAGTCAATCGAGTTTTCCCGGTATGAGTGTAAAAGTTGAAAATTACACATATCATGAAATGCATTGCTGTTTTAGCTCAGTACCTCTGAACTAGACCTGTTACGTTTTCTATAGGACCATGTTGGTCAACTCAGCACTTCTTTCTTCTCTCTCTCTTCCTCTCTCTTTCTCTCTGTCTCTCACTTGTATGTATATCCATACATCCATATATCGTACCGAGGGATTACGATTAACACTAATAACAATCCAGTTGAAGTTAAAACTACTAGGAAAAATTGTGTTTACACATTAAGAATTCAAAATGATTGATTAGCGTGATCGCAATTGATGATATGTATCGTCAGCGTAACGATTTTCTACAACAAGAAGAGAGCTGACTATATTATCTCAGTAATAAGAAGATTGTTGATAAGACTGTGTTAAGAAGCTTTACACTACTATTTTAGTATGAGAAAGAAAAGAGCTGTATTTACTCATGAGTAATTAGTATAAATAATGCCCGTCGGGCATTACCCATTACCTTTGACTTTTAAGAAAGACTTTAAATTTGAGACTCCCGCTCTCAATTAACACTGAATATTCAGATAAAAGGTAAAACAGTTCAAGGGGCGAACTTCGAGACTGTATGTATAACATGTAGCTGGCGTTCAAACATCGGATTGAGCACGGAATATTTGAGATTTCTTCGTCAAACTTTAAAAAATCAGAGGGAGTCTAAAAAGACATAAGTAAAACAATTAAACCGAGTTAGATATATCAGACTGAATGCCACTTTTAGTAAACAATTGTATTAATACTGGTAAATTTCTATTGTCATGACTGCAGAATCTTTAAGCTGCTTCATTTTCTGTCTTTTTTTATCACTATTATCTTGTTCTGACAGAATTTTAATTTCCACAGTATTATTCCTCAGCGAAATACCAAGCGTTTCTTAAAACCTTCAACGATTTGAATATTTTCAGATTTTCTGCTGATTTTTTTTCTACAGTCATTAATTTCTACATCTACTATTTTTATATAATTTCAAGAAATATCTTATTTTAGATGTATGTCTGAATTTATTAGCTAAGAGTTTGTTTATTAAGCTGTGTATTAACCACTTTCATTCTAAAATGGATTCCGATAGTAATTCAAATGATGGTCATATGCATATGGGGCATCATTATATTGACGATGGTGGATCTGACGATGATGACCAACAAGGTCATCATTCACAACGTTTAGACGACAACGGTTTAAGAGATGGCAGTTATGTTGAACAACGTTATACAGGCCCATTACGTGAACAAGATCGTTTTTTACCGATTGCTAATGTAGCAAAAATAATGAAAAAAGGCGTACCAGATAAGGGAAAAATAGCAAAAGATGCTAAAGAAACAATTCAAGAGTAAGTGAAAATTATTCGTACGAAATATTTCACGAAGAGAGACATTTGATCAGTTCTATCTTATTTTAGATGTGTATCTGAATTTATTAGTTTTATAACATCTGAGGCATCTGATCGTTGTTTACAAGAAAAACGTAAAACAATAAATGGTGAAGACATATTATTAGCAATGTTAACATTAGGTTTTGATCAATACGTTGAACCGTTAAGACTATTTTTAACAAAATTACGTGACGCATCAAAATATGATCGAACAATAACAATGGGTGGTGATTTAAGTGATGATTTGAGACAACAAATTGCTACTTCTTCATCATCAACTACAGGAACTGGAAGTGGTAGCAATGGGTTAGAACCCTATGGAAGTTCAGTAAGTAAATATATTTTTCTAACTTGCGTTCTTTTTTATTTTCATTTGAATGCCGAAAATAACGTGTTTCGTTTTTTCTTTAAAAGGTTCGTGTTGTTACATGTATTCGAAATAATGAAGGTGAAAATCCAAATTATGTTTATACAATTCAACCATATCAATAAATTAAACAGTTTTGATATGTAGTAGAATAGTATAGAGATGTTTGTATATATATGTACATATTCTTCTTCCTCTTGTTGCTTTTTGTTCATATTTCCCTCTTTTTCTGCTTTTTTTTCTAGTTTTTTATTCGTGTTTTGTGTCGTTTTTTCTTGGTTAAACAAACAAACAATTGTTTTGCGAAATATTTCGCTAAGAGAGAATGATATAGAATATTATTTCAGACTAAAAACTTTTGAACAAAGATGAACGGAATTCTCAAAAAAATTCTAACCGTTTCTGTTAAGATTGTGAAATTTGATCAAGGTTTTCTACACAAAAAGTTCTTTAATTTAAAAGAAAAACTGTTTTTACATATTTTCTTTATGAATGGGCAAAAATTTTAGTACGCATAATAAAGTAACAGCAGTAGTTTCCATTTTATTTTTGAAAATGAACTTTTAAAGTTCGAAACGTTGAAATATTTCGTTTTAATTTAATTATATGTATTTCAATAAAATGGAAACTACTGCTGTTACTTTATTATGTGTTTTTACATGCTATCGATTTCCGACGGGCTATAATAATTTTATTTTGGTATATATCATTTAACTGAAATGATTGTTTTGATATAGGTTTTTACTTTAACGACAACGATGTGATTAAAAAATTGTGATTAAATTGATTTCACCAGGAAAATTGTGTATGATTCGATAAAATAAATAAGGATTGTCATTTATTCAACAGTATACACTAGATTAGAAATAAATTTATGTGAATAGAGGACATGTTTCTATAATTGTTTTAGATCATATTATTTTTGTTGAATGCAGCAATCATCATCTGTTAATCAATTGAATACAAATGATATTGGCGATAAATCTCCGTCTTATCCATTGTTACATCAAAATGTACTAGAATCCGTAATTAGTAATGATAATACAAATGATCAACAATCATTATTATCACTACTTGATTCGATTATCGATGATTTAATATTTAATATTGTCGTTGAATTACACACATCAGATCCATCCACTTTAGTCACTACTACCACTAACACATTACATCAATCACAAAAACCAAAAAATGGTTCGACAAGAAAACGTCGAAAATCTTTAACACCGGTATCATCAACAACACAACAACTGTCAACATCGACAATAAATATTGCAAAATTTACAGCTGTATGTCCTCATTGTGGTCAAAACAATATTGTTGCAATACGTTTTGCCTATCATTTAGCCAAATGTCTAGGTTAGTTCATTGATTATTCCCACTAAAACATAGAGTTAAGTAAATTCTATTTAAATAGTAAAATCTTTTATCAATCTTAACTCTTTCCAGCCGGCAAATACAGCAAAAAATGTTACCATATGGCAACATCCGGCTGAAAAGGGTTAAGTAAAGTTATCTCGATTCGCAGTTTGACTTTCTTTCAGTCGATTTACGATCTTTGTTCATCATTATTGTTTTGTTACTATTTTAGGTGTGGGTCGTTCATCCGCCCGTACAGCAAAAAATCGTTTAATTGAATATGGCATGCTTAACGATGCAGATGAAGATGAATATGTCTATATTAATGAACATTATCCAGCAACTAATGGAATTTTAGAGGAACAGTATGATGCTAGTTCCTGTACAGGTAATATTTACAATTATGAAATCTGTAATGATAGTTGATAGAAACTTCATTTTATCAGAATACAAGTAGAAAAATATTCTATTATAGTATTCGAAACTAAAACTATCGAAAAACACAAAAATCAATTTTGTACGAATGAAGCTTCGAACATATGAGCTTAGCGTTGCAGTAAACTGCTAAAATTAAATCTACTGTTCTGTGTCTATATTCATGTACAACGATTGAAGTTGTGCAATCGACTCGATATTACCAGTAGTCATTTTTCCTTTTAGTATGTTTTTTGTGTTCTGTTTTTGATATAAGAAATAATAGTTCTATTACTAAAAAGAAAAACAGTCGAGAAGTTTTATAAAATCAGTGATACCAATAATTACTTTTTTTGCCATTTGTTTTTTGATTACTTTGCAAGGTACATAATTAATTTTTCTAAACTTACTCGATCTAAGGTAGACAATGAACTATAGCTCATACCATATATAACAAGTTCAGTGTTATTGTTTAAGTAATAAAATCCTTTATTTTTTTAGATTCGACATCAAGTTCTGTTACATTATTCCAGACAAATCATAATATTTTGGAGACAAAACTAAATGGAACTCGACGTCATGCAAGTGAAGATGAATATAAACAAGACTTTGAGGACGAAGAAGAAGATGATGATTGGCGTCCACGAAAAAAACGAAAACGGCAAACAACAAAACAACGAAAATTTGGAAGAACGAAAAAGAAACAACAAGAACAACAACAATCGTCTTCAATTGCTCCCGTAGAAAATGATTTTGAACTAGAATGCATTATTCCATTGGAAAAAGTCGAGTAAGAGGCGAATGGAGTGTTCGAGGATGACTTTTACCCTTAAATACCATTTCCAGTTATAGAAAGATATAGTAGTTACTCTATAATTTTGTTGAGACTCCTTGAAGAAAATGTCTGCTAATTGATCGACTTTGTATCCAATAGTCATTGCAATACTTTCTGTTGTCATTTAGTTCAGTAACAAAAGAAACGATTATTCCAGTAATTCAATTACAAGACACAACGGTTACCCATACATCAGCCGTCATACACAAAACACCCGAAAAAGCACCACAAAAAAATTTATTTTTCACAACAAAAAAATCTCCGACTTTCTCAAAAGTTTCATGCGATCAATCAAAATTATCCTGTCGTTTACAACCATTTTTCAATCATTCCTCTCAATCTTCTTTGTCGACCTCATCGACAACTCTTCCTACATCTTCACCTACATCGACAATCACAACGACGACGACATTGTATCCAGGTACACCCTTCAGTCATCAATTTATTTTATCATCACCATTGAACAACAGTGCGAAATAATCTTTCATTTTCCAGACAGTCTTTCGTTCAATTTATTTCTCACTTTGTCTTTTGAATTATTGACAAGATTATACAACACGAACTGTTTTCAATTAGAAAACAAAACGTTACACGAAACAGTTGCATATTAATTATTTCGTTTTTCCTTTTCAGTTCTTTTTATCTCAACAAGGAAGTAGTTATGGTCTGAAGACAGTTTAGAAAAGAAATGTTTTGTACTATCAGTCTTATAGTTCTTCCATAGTTGGCATAGCCAGTGTTTTTGAACTAACTTTTTCTTTAAGAAATTGTTATCCATTTATAAAATTGTGAATATTCTTATGCAGGCTTTATCTAGAATCAAAAGAACTTGAGCAATAAACTTGTCCAGTAACAGTTCTATTCAACAGTGGAAAGTCGTAAGCTCATTGGTCCAAAGTATCTTTTTCTATAGTAAGATCTAAGTTTTATCGCTCAAAAACAATCATTAATTTTCTTCTTAACTGAACTATCCTCTATCTTTTTTCTTTTTAACAACAATTTGCCAGTTACACGTCTGTACTATACATTAATTTCTTTTTTCAAAATATCATTGCAAATCAATTCATCTTTTCTGATCAATAAACGATCATCATCTTTAGTGGCATAGGAAAAATGTGTTAATGTATAAAAGAAAATTTTTTTGCTCAATCATAGTTGTGTTTGTAACCTTTTCTTTTTATCAATGCCGTTCGTGATTTTGTTTTTTTTTCCTTTTTGTTTTCTTTTATATGAAATTGCAAATTTATTTTGCAATTTTATTGTTTTACAGCATGTGTACACGTTCTTTCTTTCATGAATCTATTTTTGTAGTTTACTGCAAATCTAAGTTCATATAGTTCGAGTTTCTATTCGTACAAAATTAAATTTATGTTTTTCAATAGTTTGAGTTTTAGAATACTATAATGGAATTTCTTTCACTTGTATTCTTGAAAAATAAAGCTAATATCATATATTTTCGTTGTCACTGTTTTTTCTCTTTTTTTTTGTTGTTGCTGACAATTGTTTTTTTCCATATGTAATTCGATGTATTTTGCTCTGCTTTTTTTCTTGCTCAGTCTTCTTAAGGAAAAAAAATAAATCAGATACTATTGATCTGAAAAAAATGTTTTTTTTTTTTTACCAATACATGTTTTTATCGATGTTAAATAAAATCGATGTTAATTAATCGAGTTATTAATGAAAGTAAAATACCAAACACTGACGGAAACTTGTTAAATACAAAATTCACAGAGCTAATATACTATTGATTCCCTCTCAAATCTGAACGTACGGTTAGTGAATGAAAATAAGAAAAATGGCCAGTCCTTGAACGAGCATTTTTGCTCAAGTATACAGTATGCTAATGGCAGATGATAAACTGATATCCCACCGATAGTTTCTAAAAAAAGAGGTTTCGTAGTTTAAAAAAAAAGGGGAAAAGAGGAGTTCAGTTTTTTCGGGCGAAAAATGCTAACAAATAAACATCCTCGCAAGTGTAGAATCATGTAACGGTAGCATATCTATGATCTGCGTTCAATGGCGAATCGAAGCAGCGAAAAATGAAATTCAGTATTGTTCACATATATTTTGCATCGTTCATAATATACGCACTGCAAAATGAGAAAACAACAGAAATTTCGTTCATCTATTGTTTTTTTTCGTCTAAAGTGGAATTTGTCCGCAATCACTAGAGGAGTGGAGTACACAGACTTTCCGGTTATTCTTAGGGATGGGAGAGACTAAAAAATTTTGCTTCGCAGAAAGTGGCTGGTGAAAAATAGTTTTGGAAATTTTTGGACAGAACGTTGCTGGTGAAAAAACGTCAAAGATTTGGCCAGATGGTTCAAAATCTTTTGGTTGGGAGGGACCAGCACCTCCGTTGAGGATGAACAATCAAATTCTCTTCGAAGTAATTGTCAAGCCCTACCGGTTGGGTCTACGTACGTTCCTCATCTACATTGATGACCTTGATCGAAACTTGACTTGAAAACATAATCATTCTTCTGCGCCACTTTGTTACGGTGGCTAGTGTCGCAAAAAGGATAACGCGACCGTGAACAATGATCTTGTTATTATTTATCAGTGCTCCTTGCGATGGATTTACTCGTTACTAGTAACTAGTAACTAACTAATTTGGTTACTTCGTTATCAGTAACGAGTAACTAATCCAGTTACTTCGTTACTCTCCTGAAGGTAACGAAGTAACGAAAATGTTTTTTAAAGGAAAAGACATATTCAACTTCTTTTCGATATTCTCTGTCATTCTAACATATAAATCTTCGTATGAAAACGTCATCTTTCCCTAGTATGACTAAAGCTCTAGAATTTATTAGTTATAATACGCAAAACGAAAATATTTCTCAAAACATTTAGGTTCTTTGACTTAAAATTTTTTCAAGATTGTCGAAACCATCGTCAAAAGCTGCTGCACTAAGAAATTATTTCAATACTTCATTAGAGTATTGCAAGAAATGAAGAGACTTTTTTGACCAAAGTTTTATCATTTACATTTGTTGCTACAGGCCTACTGATTTCTTTATTTCAAATATGCAAAAAATGATTCGTAAACTAACGGCATGCACTGCGTCACCTTGTCTCATTTTAGTCGAAAATAAGTGATCTATTCTTGATTTTCCTTCTCCACCGGCAAAAATATTAGACGAAAGGAAAAGTCCGATAACGATGTCTCCAGACATGTGTTATATACAAAGATCAAATCCTTGATTTACCATCTTTTCAGTCTACGGATCAAGAACAGCGTATTCGTATTTCAAAATGTTTTGAAACACCCACAGGAGTTAAGTTTCTTCTGTCTTATTATTGATCAATAAAAGAACTTTGGTCATATTAGGGAAAGGTGACTTTCGTATAAAGATTTATATGTTAGAACGATAGAGAATATTGAAAAGAAGTTGAATATGGCTTTTTCCTTAAAACTAATTTTCGTTACTTCATTACTTTCTCGAGAGTAACGAAGTAACTGGATTAGTTACTTAGCAAATAGTAACTATGTTAGTTACTCGTGACTGGTGACGAAATAATTACTCTGATACTAACTGATTAATTTTCCGTAACTTCGAGAGCGGTGAAAAAGAAAAATCAACTTTTGATATGGTGACGCTAGAATATCATTTTGATGGCGTGATAGTAAAACTTTCATAACGTTGAATCCAAGCATCCCTCAAAGCTTTCTTATTCTAGCATTGTACTACAATACTAAAAGTTTAGAAGATTCAGTATTTTGGGCTTTATAGAAAACTTCTTCAAAACCATCATTCAGCAGTGTTTTATAAAAGCTTTTTTTTTCGTTTTATAAGATTTATTATGGCTGGAGAATGATAGTAACCAATAAAAAGTCGTTTATCATCAAGGAAATTCCTCTACCTTTGTTTGAAAAAGCAGTAGCTGAAGGAAAAGTAATTTCTATACCGTCTTTTGAGCTATTTCCAATGATGAAGTCGGTTTTGGGTATAATGTCAAGTTTTCGGCGATAATTGTTTCTACTATCTTAGACTCATTCATCAGAAACTTGTTCTTGTACCTTGTTCGTTCTGTACCATGTTGCCTGTTAAGAAACTCATAAGAACTTTTTTGAATTAATGATTAATTATTCAGTTAAATTTAATGTCTTGCATAATGATAATGTACAACATTCTACGCACAATAGAAACGATGTCGCTTTTCTTCTCGTTGAATAGTTTTGAGAAACTATTCATTCGTTTATCAACCAAAACTGACTACTATCAATGTCAAATTCTAATGAACGTGGCCATTTTTTAATAAGTAATTCAAAAATTCCATAGGATATTCGTGGATTCACCTATGGCACTAGTCATATTCTACATTCACCTGATGGTAAACTATGCGAAAAACTGAAATAACAGAAAAGCTAAACTCGACTTCAAATTAATCATACATTAATTTCATACTGCTTTAGTGATACAAAAATTATTCACATGCTTAAAAACTTTAACATACCATGTTGTATTCTACAAAACAAGGCATCTTAAAACAAGACGGAAGAAAATAAGATGCAATGGATGTAGACAATCAACTCACGACCGATTTATGCATCTTATTGTACTAGTTAGAATCTTAAAGAAATTTTGTAGTAGTACCTAGCAGAGCTACTTTACTGGCAGAATGAGAAATGCAGAAAAACGTTATTATTTGTTCTAAAAATCGTTGTTCTTTCGGTCTTAAAAGCAAACAATTATTACTAGTTTAATGATAAAAGTTTGATACAAAAAGTTGTTTGTACAATGTTGATAGTACAAGTAAAAGCTCAATTAATTGATTAATAGAGTAGATGATATTCTTCTTTGTTCAAAGCAAAAATCGGACTCTATAGTACCATTGGACTTCAAATTGAAAACCAGTCTTTTATGGCAGATTACATCTTCTTAACGTGGAGAAAGTACACTCGAGTAAAGGGGACGGTCGTCTGTGGTGCGTACTGTTAGGCTGTCAGCGGAAGTCACATAACCTTCCATCGAAATATTCTAAAAATCAGTTCAGTATCCCGTTTTAGCCAGAAAAGTTTTGTCCATAAAGTGATGCATTCAGAATTTAAGACTTTGAGAAATTTTGTTAAATCTTCTTTCGCTGCGCCTTTGCAGAACCATCGAGGTCTTAAAAACACATCATTGGCACATTGAGATACATGGTTAACTTTGCAAAAAAAATTGGCCGTTTCACGGTATATGAGCCTATTCTTGGAAGATTATTAATAGTTTATTTTGAAATCTACAAAGTTCTCTTTAAAAAGCGGAATTTTGATATGAATTGTTCTAGCGTTTCTTTGTGCGCTTCTTTTACCGTCAGATTTTGACTTTACTCTTTTGTTCGTTGTTGTAAAGGGCCCTTTCAGTTATGGTCATGAATTTCTGTTTTGGAATCCCTTGGTACATTACCAAAGAAAAGAAAGAAACAAAAATTTCTATATCGATGTGGATGTGTAGGTGAGGAAGAAAATGATGTCTTAACTATCACGCTGACAAAGAGAAACGGAAACTTTATTTCCAACTTGACTCATTGGTACATAATCATTTTTTGTTCTCTTCCTATAACACATTTCTCTCTCACACAGTCAAGACGTGACGTACATCTTTCTTCTTTCTCTGTATACGTGGCCTCACTCACGTGTAGGTCACATTTTTCCCTTATTTCTCTACTTATTTGCATACTTTTAAATGAACGAAAAACTCGAAATGATACTTATGACAAAAACAGAACAAACTTACATGTTAAGAATGATTTAAATTATATTGGAAATTACTCGAATAAGGATGAACAAACAGTGACTTTTAGTTAAAAATGATAGGGTGTTTACTGATTGATTGAATGAAAGGTCTAGTATCATTAATGGACATTATCTAAGACTAGATAGTCGCTATCAACAATACAACAGTGATTTTCTTTGTAATCAACAGTATCAGTTTATGCAACAATAACATAATGATTATTATAGTCATCAATCCCTAGCAGATTATACAAATTAAGGTCGATCGAACCATCTGCAACAGTCTGCTGATCCATCTAAGCGTACACAGTCAGTTAAAATATCAACTCCAACGCTCACTCAATCATCTGGACTGACAATGAATTATGATTTGATGAATCATTCGATTATTCATCAACATGTAGCATGTTTTACACAACAACTATCTAATCCTAATACAATACTCCCCAATACCAAAAAGACTATTTTAAAATGAGCAGTATATGAAGAGTAACATATATAAACGCCCAAAACATTAACCCGTTAGCATCTTAATAATAACTAATATAGTATACCATTCTCGCACTTAAAACGTGCAGTTGCAAACAATCTACCATGTTTTATTATACAATATGATTAAATATTTCACCACATTATTTTAAATCCTGTTAAACCTGCTGGTCATTTTAAACAAATTAATTATTTCTATGATCGTGCAACAATCAATTACCGGTTTACAGTTACAGATTTGTAAGAATATAATGGGGTACTACAACTTACGAGGGAAGGCCCCCAACTGTTCAGAAGCTTTTGGCCCAAAACTTAGTGAACAATAGGTAATCGAGCGTCCTGATTCCCAATATTACATTGGTTTGGGCCTAATTTTAGTTTAAAGACCCGGTTTTTGAAATACTGGGTTTTGGGGTCGAAAAGCCATTCGCAATAAAAACATTTTTTGACCCGTGAATAATATGAAAGAGCATATCGCGAAACCCACGTAAGACTATTTTTCAAGGTTTTAGAGGGGGTTTTGAAAGACTAAAACTTAAAACTACACCCAGGAAAACGCGTTGTCGCACTTATGCGTTTTGTGCGATACAAATACTGTTTTCTAGGTTATCGAACGTGCCAAATTTGAATATTCCATTGTTTTCAGTACTTAGAAGAGAAAAAAAATAGCCTATATTTATATCAAAATTTACACGAAAAACGAAATATTCTACAGCTGATGTACTAGACTGGGAAACTTGGAATACATGTAAGCGATCACAGAAAATAAAGAAACCAAGAACTAACACTGGAAAAATTCCTGAAAAAAGGAGAACGAAAAGAACTAATACGGGGGAAATTCCTCATAGAAAGAAAGAGAACGAAAAAGATACATATAGTAGACAATAAGAAATAACACTGGAGAAATTCTTGACAGAAAGAAAGAGAACGAACATACATATATATATGATACCTATCATACAATTCTCTCTTATGGCACGTCTTTAATATGTGCCATAACACAATAATCTTCAGAAAAGCGAAAGAAACTAGTAGTTGTATAGATTTGACCTAATGCCATTTACACATTGTTCTTTGCTTCTTTCTTGTAGCAATACATTACTCACGTTCGTTCCCTCGATTTTATCAATATAGCACTTTTAATCCTCAATTTCCTTAGTAAACCCTTTCTTTTCCTTTCCCTATATTTCAACCAACTTGTTTATAAAAATAACCGTGAAATCAGAAAAATCATTCAAGGTAATTCATTCAAATTGTCTTTTAATTCATTTTTTCATGGTTTTCGACCCCAAAACCCAGTATTTCAAAAACCGGGTCTTTAAACTAAAATTGGGCCCAAATCAATGTAATATTCGGAATCAGGACACTCGATTACCTATTGTCCACTAAGTTTTGGGCTAAAAGCTTCTGAACAGTTGAGGGCCTTCCCTCGTTAGCCATATTGCAGTAGATAGTCGATCATAGCATACAAATAGCTAACACGATGACATATTGTACTAAACGTTGGAGTTTGGGTCATCTGAGAGATGCATGTACAATACTAACTCAAAGATGTCGAATATGTTTAGGTAATTTTGATCCAAATCATCAAGGTTCTAATGTTCTAAGATATGCTAATTGTCAACAGGAGCATCAATCATCAGATCCAATGTGTGATATTATTCGTCGTTGTCGTACAGATCTAAATGAAGCTATTAATATTTCTATTCTAGAAGATAAATTAGATCGTCGGACAACACCACAGCAACAGCTCCAATAGACAACATTTCATTATAATAATAAAGAATTTCTAGCAATGAATGATGATAAAATTAAGTTTAATGGATAAAATCTACAGAATAACGATCAACAGAACATAATGAACTATTTACGGCAAATGAATAATGTAAGCAACATCTTATATAAATTAATGATAAATTAAATGTACAACAGCAAGAAATGGAAATTAATATAATAAATATTCAGTTGAACAGAATAGTGGTACAAGCAACTTTGTTAACTATATCAGAATGTTGAATAATGTGATTAAACCTCTTATTAATCTAGTACAAGGTGAACAAGAAAAGAACGAATTTCACGAGCTTTGAACGATCAGTGTAATGATTTACACAAACATCATATAAAAATTAAAGAAGATTTTATTACTATAGATACGACTAGAGTACTAAATTAGCAGCATTCAACTTCTGTCGTAACTGCAATAAATATTCCCAATGATAATATAAATAATAATGATGATGATAGTCAATTATTAGATTATAGTAAGTGAGAACTTTAATTCAATGAATCTGAACGCTCAAAATTTCGTCAGCACTGCAGTAGACGCAAGCTCAGCTGATAAAGGTTCGTAAGAGAATGACGTATTGTAATTTTTCTGATCATATGATAAAAAAGATTTGTGTTTATTTGTATGAGTGGTTTTCTCGTTTTTCTCTTGACTCTCTTCTTGATAACTGGAAAAGATACTGGCAAAATGTCATATATACAAACGAATGCTTAAAACAGTAGAGGTGAGTTGCATGCTGTGCTTGGAAAAATGAATCAGGAGGAAGTTTTCTTCTAGAAAAATGACTCGAAGTGACTCGAGTCAATCTTTGATGCAATTCGGACTCGGAACTGGACTCGAAGGCTCCTGACTAGGACTCAGCTCAGACTCGAAAAGTGGTGGTGACTCGTCCATCTAGTGAAAATTTATCTTCATTTACAAAGAAAAATGAACTAAATTTTTATGTGACACAAAATTTAAAAAGAAGGCTAAATAGTATGTATAAATCTGACATCGTACTTTCTCTTTTTTATATAATGATGTTTTTTAATGGTACGAATTCAAAAAAAGTAAAGAAGATGAATGAATTCTCTCTGTTGTAGGAAAAGAAGAGAATAATCTCTGTTGTAGAGAAAAGAATGTGTTCTTTTGCTATTTTCTTAATTTTATGTAACTAAAATGTTCTAATTGGTTTATTTATGTCATTTTCCTGTTGTTGTTTTTTGCAAGTGTTTCCGAGTGTGGCAATAAAACATAATCCAAAACAAGAAAACAATTATTTGTTCTCTTTTTCTCAATCGTATAATGAAATAATACGCTTCTTTTTAAATCTGCATGTTTAGTCGTAGTCTTTTATTTTGAAATTCTAGAAACAGTGATGTTTAGACGACGTTCTTCCCGTCTTCACCCTTATCCTTTAGCAACACGAGTTAAGAATGGTAAGTTGAGTGAAGATCTTTTATTTTGATATTTATAAATTGAATTTTGTATATGTTATTTCTTCCTAGCAAATGACCATTCGTGTTCATCAACAATTGACAATGACAACCAAAGTGATATATCGTGCGTTGAAACATTATTTCTCTACAACAGTTTTTAAAAACGTTTCGCTCCTTTTCTAATGGGTGGGCCAGATAAAACCGGCCACTTTTGTTCTTGTTTATTAATCCCCTTCTATGAAGTTTCAAGTTCTCATTTTACAGTCAATCGATAGAGAATTGAATTCTCTACAAAACCTGTAATTTTAATCTCTGACAG